GAGTAAACAAGCGCAGAGATGGACACATAATGTTCAGGAGGACCTATTAAATGCTGTATTTGTTCAGTGTCTGCTGAGATTTTTGGATAATGATGGCTTCTGCTGCTATCTATCATCCTCCAAAATAAATGATTAATAGCGTCAGTCCACTGACAGTCACTTTTCCAACATAAAACAGAGTGAAGAAGGAACGCAAGGGATGGACAAAAACATGTGTGGCGCGAGGCTGAGAGACTGCAGCCGCTATAATCAAATAAGGCTTCGTCTTCAGCGTGCATTTATCTTTGTCATCATAAGACTTTCAAAGGCTCAGCAACTCACGACTAGTGATGTTCTGCCTTTTGTCACATCCCCAATTGCCTTTTATTAACCATTCTCCGAAAGATAACTCGGTGTGTTTAAATTTTACAGACCTGCTCTGGATGTGATCTAAAATAGGTCATAATACAGGATAAAAGATCTCTGCCTTTAGCCTCAAAAGTGCAGCTAGGAAGAGACAGTACTTAGGGCTGTGTATTTACTTATGTGTATTGTCCTTAATGTAAATATGTAAGAAAAATTGTGTTTCTGTTCCATGTCCTGTGTACTGTTTGTTTGTATATTTGTCTTTTTGGCTGCTGTTACAACCAAATTTCCCCCTTGTGGGACAATTAAAGGATTATTCTATTCTATTCTTCTATTCTATTTACTTATTACTGGGATTTTCCTGAACAATCATTTCTAGGATTTACAGAGAATGATGCAAAAAAAAAAAGAGAGGGTAAATATCCAGTGAGCAGCAATTCTCTGGGTGAAAATGCCTTGTTGATGAAAGAGGTCAGAGGAGAAAGGCCAGTCAGTTTTTTACCTGATAGGAAGATAATGCCACACAAATAACCACTCTTTACAACCAAGGTAAGCTGAAGTCTATCTCTGAATGCGCAACACACCAAATTTTGGGCTGCAGCACTTCTGTCACCTAAGAACAGGAAACTGAGGGTACAGTTTGCAAGAGTTCATCAAATTTGGAGAGTGGATGATTGGAAAAAAGATATCTAGGCTGATGAGTTTTAATCGCTGCTGCAGCATTTGGATGGCAGGGGCAGAGTTTTGTGCAAACAACAAGAATGAACACATGAAAGCTATTATCCCTTATAACAGCCATTCAGACTGGTGGTAGCAGTGTGGAGGATATTTTAAGTCCCAAGTGAGCATTATTTAAATGTCTGAAACCAGTATTGTTGCTGACCATGTCCATCATTTATTACTAAATATGCCTAAAATACAACAAAGTGTAACAAATGAAGAGGCCAATAAATGCATACTCCTAATAAGTGCATACTCCTTCCTAAAACAACACTCAAGATCAAATGTTTCATCTAAAACATTGAAACTGGCCTGAGGGTGGCAGCAGAGGAGAGGTCACAGAAGAGTGTTTCCCATGTATCATGGTCATTTAATAATAAATCTGCCATGTGACAATATATTACTTTAATTTGGATGAATTTGAGTTTATTTGTTGTTCTAGTGTCCAGTGTGGAAACTTCAAACATGTTACTGTGATTGGTTATATAAACTCATTACTATTGTATTCTCTTAGATTTTTAGAATTGTAAGGTATATAATATGACCACTGTTTCTTTCTTGTTTTCTTTTCACTGCTGTTGTCATGGGACATTGAAGGATATGCTAAATATATTAATGTTTGTCAGCGATTTTCTGCCACGGTCACTGGCTAATCATCAGAAAGCAAACATTAACTTGAAGAGTGTGTGTAGTGCAAATGTATTTTTGCAAATGCATGTTTGGTGCCATCTGGTGACTTCAAGCACAGGAGCTGAAGCATTTAAATCAAGGGCCGGGCATCTGATAAATGGAACACAACAGCTGCCATATTACTCGAGCTGCTTGGTGGAGTAATGAACACACCGCCAAACAAACTTATTCTGGAAGATCCCCGTGCCTTGTGAACTTATGGAAAAATATAACACTGTACTGTATTGTGTTGTGTTGTTACATAATGCAGTGCTTTTGCTAGTTACTGTACTGGAAAGAAGGAATTAACTCCTCCTCTATTCCACAGTCTGGATGGGAATTTAGTGAAACGAGCTAAAAAAAAGTGTGTAAAAACTGCTAATGATGTTTGGAGGTTACCACAGGAATGTATCACGAGTCATCACTTGCAAAAACAAGCAGCCAGTTGAGTAATCCCCAGTGACTGTAGCGTCAGTCTAAGCAAGACGGAACATGAAAATATTCCACAAGCTTTGAATAGTTTTACTAAATTCATTTTTTGGGATGGAAATGGACTCATAAAAGATGGGGAAGACTAGAAATTCTAAAATACAATCTTTTCACTAAATCTAGTAAGTATTGACATAGGTATAGAAAATAACATGTGAGATAAATTTTAATCTGCAGAGGAGTAATTTTGTAAGATTTTGCTAAAATATGCTGCATAATAACAACCTTATTGGAATAAAATAGATATTTTGATGCTAACCATGCAGTAAAAAATTTGTACGGTAATGTTTTTAACCAGTAAAAATAGAGATTACTGCTAAATGTTGTGATCATGTAATTTTAGGTGCTTGCTTCTTTGTGAGATATGATTTCTCACAATGGATGGGGTACTTTTGTTTCACGATGGACACGCCTGTGCTTGTGTTAGCACAAGCACTGTGGAGGTGTAATCACACAAGGGAGACGCTCTCTGCAAGACCTGAGAAAAAGAAGTTGACGCTGCTGTCGACGCTGCACAACGCACATATTTTTCTCTAAAAGGTACTTAATTATGCTTACTTATAATAGGACTAGAACTTATTTCTGTCTTGGTTATCATCTGTAAAAACAACGTTTCTCTTGTTCTCGTATACTTAAGGTATACTCGTTTTCAAACACGCCTAGGTCATGTTAAGTTAATTCTTATGAGAATGTTATATTTGAGGAGAGATATAAACCAGCTTTTTGGAGGTAATTAATCTTTTCAGCAATTAAATGTGTTGCTGCTAGCTGGTGAACTGTCAGTGGGTATTGTTCTAAGCTTTCAATCCTGCTTCTCTTGCAGTCAAGATGCCAGAAACAGCTGAGGCTGTGTCAGCCACTCTCACCACCAACAGAAACTGCACTATAGAAATAACCAATGTCAGCGGTAGCTACTGCCTCATTAACCCCAAGTAAGTCTGCAAATGTCTTTGTCAGTTTAACACTTGTAAAACTGATTAATTGAGAAAATAAATGGATAGCATTTAGGGCCAGACCTGAATGGCTGAATGTTTACTTCATAAAACATAAATCAATGAATGACAGAAAAAACATTGTGATGAGCAATGGAAACTTCACAACATTATACATTAAGTTCACTAAAATGCTGCTTCTAAGCTCTTAAAAGCAACAATAAGTGACATGTCCTGCAATTCATAATTAGATTTGGCTGCCTAGTGTTTGTGAATCACTGTTATTAAAAAAAAAAGGATAAGTTACATATATGTAAATATTATTTTCTTTTGCATAACAGCCATGTATAATTTGGGGGTCACCACAATCTCCACCATGTGTTCTTTCTAATAATTCATAAGCCTAAATTTCACAAGGAGGGCTCAATGGCACTGCAAGCAAAATGCAGTGCACCATCTATTATAACATTAATAAAATATTAGTTTTATATAGCCACCTACTGTATTTCTCAACAATGTAATATGAATTGTCCCCCCCTCCAACCAAAAAAAGAAGAAAAAAATTAATAAAACACAGCAACAAAATAAATATAAACAATTCATGTCTATTGGAATCTGTGCCATCCTTCTACATTTATCTAGCTGTGGGAAGACAGGCCATATTTTGGATGGCTGGTTTTCATGTGTGACATTACTTTGCTGAGAACATCCACCTATCCATCATGCAGTGACACACACTGCCTCATTGCACATCGCATGCAGGTACACTCACTGTTGCTTAGAAGTCCACAGTAGTACTCCCAGTCACACTCCATCCATCAGCATAAGATGTTTCACCCTGGAAAGCCCAACACTCAAAAAGTAAATTGACAATCTCCACAAAAGTTACAAAAGTGTGTTTTTTTTCATCAAAAGTACGAGAAGTGTGACATAAAAGTTGTTAACTGATTAGTAGTGACGGTAAGGATTTATCTCTTGCTCTAATGTGTAGGGTGTACATGAAAAGTGGCTTCTGTCAACACCCGCCCCAGCCCACGATTCGTACCACCAAGACCGAAGTGTGCTCCTTCACCAAGGATGACAACACTGCCACGGGTGCCGTCGGCATTCTAACCTACGATTTGTTCCATATGCAGAGCCGGGTTTGCTCCGAGCGCATGGCTATCATGTTCTCTGTGCCTTTTGACCACAGCCTGTATAAGAACCAGCTGGCCATGGGTATGTTTCAGCAATCCTGTGCTTGTGACAAACACCTGTATGACCGGATGTATGATGGGAAGGATCTCAGCAACTTCACCCGCTCTGAGGCAAATGGCTGTGGGCTGGAGTACAAGGCGACATATGTTGACCTGAGGGCCACAATGTCTACTGTTGGAAAAGCCATGGTTAAAGTGGAGCTCTATGATAAAATGGGTCATTAGTGTGCAGTCTACTGGTGTTCTGCTTTTCTGTGTTTTCTTGTTTTTCTAGTCGCAGAAAAATAAACTTCATTTGATTTGACGACTCTTGTCATCCTAAAAAAAAAACATTTAGGAGAAGAGGAAGACTGATTTTGCTGTCATCTGTATTTTGTGTCTGCTGAAAGATATCAATATCTGACAGCCACCTCATTGATTCTCCATTAGCTTAGCTCTTGGGCTCATGTACACTGAATACTCTATTTTCGTTTATTATGGTAATAAAGCATTCAGACCCAATGCTTGTGCTACTTTGAGTGGGATATGTTTTCATTCATATGCTTTCATTATTACTGATGAACTGTAATCATTTTTTAATCTCTTATCTGGATCCGTCCAATTCTAATGAGCAACAACAGATGGAAAATCTGCATAGATGTTTTTTTAATTTCTACGAAAACAATATTGTTCTTCCTTCGCTGTTAGACTCTCCATCTTGCTTGATTGTGTGGTATTTGGAATGCAAGAGTTTCAGCAAGATACTAAGCAAAGTATCGCTCCAGAAATGTCTGTCCCAACTTGTTTGATCTGCTTTTTTTTACTGTTTCACAATACAAGAGGAATGACAGTCCCAAACCACATTCATGTCTTGTTATTATGGGCTTGAAGGGCTCACCTCAGTGGTTGGGATCCAATGGGAACTTGTTGGAAACTGTTCAATTTAGCCACAGGCTAGGGTGTGGCTGTTTCATCCCACAGGGGAAAACAGTAATATTAGATCTCATAGTCTTCTTTTTGTGTGGGTCATGTGTTTGGAAAGAGGGTGTGCTATCCTGTATTTAAGCAGGGTTGTACTTCAATTGGGAGGGTTTTCTGAGTGATTAATACATCCTTGGGGGGGAAAAAAGAAAAAGAAGAAAAAGACAAAAAAGGAAAACCAACTAGCAACTTTTACTGTTTTTGGACTTGAAGTACTAACAGCGCTTCTCAGCAGGTAAGTCACTACATTTAGGGAAAATACATTTAGAACAATGACTCTCTTAGCTCTTATAATTTGTAAGATATATAGAACTTTGATGAGGCTTTTGTTTGATTTCTTTAATGTATCTGCTGATAAAATGAGTGATCATGTTCTTTCACTTTATCACTGTGTAGTACTAATTATAAAGTACTGTCACTGGAGTGGTACACTTCTTTTAAAAGACTGCAGCAATTCTATGTTCTCTTGTAAAATCTCATTAGCCTGTGAAATGCACTATTTTTACGCAGTGACAGTCGATGTGTGCTTTTGGAGGTCGGCGTAATGATATTAGAGTACATCATCAGAGACGAAGTGAAACCTGAGTTCTATATTGTTATAAGTTTATTCCTATGATTCTCACTGCAGTTAGGAGGAAATAAACATCCAGGTTACAGGTATGAGCTGGTTGACATTTAAATTATTTTTTATTAGATCAACAGAGCTCGCAGCCACTGCAACATGACAGAGACAGCTGAAGCTGTAGCTGCTGACGTGAGCAGCAAGAGAAGTGTGACCATCGAAATATCAAATCTCGCTAACAGCTACCTCCTTATTAACCCCAGGTAAGCCCAGCCTGTGTTGTGACTTTTCGGGCTTATATGAAATACATAGTAGACCAAAAAAAAAAAAAACGTTGAATGCATTTTTCTATTTGTGTACTAATTAGGGTATACCTTGAGAACGGGGAGGCATACAACCCACCGCAACCTACAGTGCGCCCTCTAAAGACAGAGGTTTGCACGTTCACCAAGTCCAGCAGCAAAGCAACAGGAGCTGTTGGTGTACTGACCTATGACCTTTTCGAGAGGTCACAGAATGACTTCGCTGAGACTGTGGCTCTCATGTTCTCCGTCCCCTGGGACTACAACCTGTACAAGAACTGGTTTGCAGTGGGCGTCTATAAAAGGGGTCGTAACTGTGACAAGGATTTGTACAAAGAAATGTACTACGAGAAGAATCAGCATGAACATGGGTTTGTCAGGGAGGAAGCCACTGGGTCAGGAATCAATTACATGGGTAACCGCCTAGATATCAGGGCCACTATGTGTCCTCTAGGCAAAGCTATCATGAAGGTAGAGGTGTGGGATAAGCTTCTTACACCCATGGGCCAGCAGGCATATTAAAGGGCCCCTTGATACCAGTATTTTTTGTCATGTTTCCTGACAGCAGAATTCATTCTCTGCCTTCTGCTTCTTCCTGGTAGACTGTTTCTAATACAGCAGGCATGCATGATTTAACAGATGTATTGTTGCTGACATGTGTCTGTATACCTGGATATTACCCTTCAGTAAATCTGCTTAAGATATGAATTTAGTTTGTTTATAAATTCACCCCCCCCACCCTCCCAGCCCCCCATCAGACACACACACACTGTATAATCACAGCTTCTCCCTGTTTCAATAGCATTCAGTTTTAAAATGGAATCTTTAGAAATGGAAATCAAAGGATGACTCACCGGAGGATGAGGGCATATAGCTTAATGAAATACGCAATGAAAGCTTGTCTGTATTTACCTTGACACTGTAGTCTGAGGAATAAAATAAAGCTTTTTTTCTGAAGCTATTTGTGTATGACTGTCTGTTGACTGAGTTTAGAAGATGCAAAGGGTTTAAAAAATGAGATTTCCAAAGCATGCGCCATGTGCTGTGTATTTATAAAGGCTTCATAAGGATCAATTTGAAGTGGAATTGATATAGACAAAAACAAAGGGTCCTATTTCTTTTTGGGTGTCCCCTCCCCACATGGCTGAATTCTACTTCATCAAAGTCTTGGTATCACTTGAAAAATAATTGTATTATTTATGAAATCTTTGCTATTGTAATAGCTATTAGCTATGTTACGGCTAAATTACAAAATTTGCTGTAAAATCAAAGCATTCAATATCTCTAAAAACATGCAACGCAAGTCTGCGTTACTGGTTAGCCAAAAGATCATTCAGTATGCATGCCAAAGTATCCTTGGGATAGATACTGTATGACTGGGTGAATGAGGCATGTTAAGTGCTTTGAATGGTCAAGTAGAGTAGAAAAGTGCTATTTTAGAACCAGTCCATTTACTGTTAATTTGCAGTAATAACTTGTAATGTAAGCTCATTACTTAATCTTTATGAAGCAGTAAACCTGAGATAACTACACCTGCTTTCTTGTGATTATCATCTTGTCAAGTTGGATGAGATTTGGGTGAAGACCCTATTTTTGTAACTCGTGATACTTACTAAAAGCTTATAACTATTTAATTGGGTAGAAATTACCATCTTGATGTGTAATGTCGTCATCAGATTTTATTTTCCAGTAATGGCACAGCCAATTCTTTGAAGAGACAGTCATTAACCTTAGGGAAATATGAGCTTGTCACAAAGAAGGCACAATATCTCCTCTTAATTCACATCTTATATGAGGTTATTATAGGTTCTGCTTATTCCGTCTACAATCTCAATACTGCCTTCCTGATTCTGTTTTCCCATTAGATTTATGGTGGTTTCGCCGTATTAACAGTTCAAACCACAAAGAAGCTCAGATCAAAGGTTCTGCACTCTGTCACCTTTGCATTTGCATAAAAGCCAAACATAGAAAAGAGGCATAACCTCAGCATGTTTAAGCACAATCCCTGAAGCACTGTTGAGTGACACTGTCCCTATAAAAACAGTCCCTATAAACAGATGGGAACACTAACAAGAAACTTTTAGGTGCTTTTTTTAGGTATTAACTTAAGGACAAATGCCTGCACATTCCTTTCAAATTTTCCTCTTCAATCTCTCCTTAGTATTTACTATACCTGTGCACACAAGTACACATTCATTATTTGCATCATACTGTTTACTGCAAGTGTTTGTGTAAGTGTGCTCCAGTATTTGCATCTACATTCGTATGTACAGTATGTGTTTGCACCCTTTTGTGGTGAGCATCTCTTAGTCTGGATACGCACCTGCGCCTGCAGATATTTCCTATCAAATGCATTCTTTTGTGCATTCTTTTGTGCATTATGCGATTTGTATTTTGAAGTGAAAAAACTCTTTCAAGAACAGTGCAGGATTAGACTCTTAAGCAAGGAAGAAAAGATATGAGAATTTTTTTTCTAGGTAGATAAATATAAGAGGCTCAGCATTTGAGGACTGAAACAGATGCTGAACACGAGGGAATCTGACTACTTTTCTGATAAAACCTTCTGTTCCAATCCTTCCGGGATGTTAAGAGGCAAGGGAAGTAAATACAAGCACGAGAGGAGTAAAGTCAACATGTCTTTATATGAGACATATATCAGGTGATCACATTTAAACGACTGCAAGGTTCTAGTTACAAACACTACAGGAAGTTGAGAAAAACACTTTTAAAGCACACAGCAACTCAAATAAAATTGGAAAACATGGGAAAATATAAAAACTGTTATTTATTTGCATTTTTTGGAAGCATTTTTACTTTATAATAGCATTTTCTGCATTATTATATCACAAATAATAATTATTGAATTCATTTCTGGCGCTACTAATATAGTGGCTACGTTTTTCATCAATTTTCACTTTATTTTTAGAAAAAGAAAAAAAGACACATGAAGATTTGGAAAGGAGTGGCTTCCTTTCCATAATCCCCACCTGTCATTTCCTGTGTCTATTTAACATATTTTTTGATAATTCATTCTTAATATTAAATTTCAGCTTCCAATTCATTTTGTTTTACAGTGATTCTAATCGTCTACAGTGTTTAAGAAATATATTTGTCAATCTGGTCGTGCAAAAGAAATTTCCACGATCTAAAGTTTGACCGTGGGCCTATACCTCTGTGTAAAAAATCACCCAGGTTATAATCAGCTGCATAAAAGATATTATTGCCCCTCAAAATAAACAGGCTTCTACTTAAAAAGGTTAGTTTGTCAGCATCGTCAACAACAGAATAAGCTCTCAAAGACTGCCATCTAGAGGCCTCCTACATATATTATCTCACACAATTACCTGCTCTAAGCAATTTAGAGACAGCTGGGGAAAAGTATTTGGGTGAAAACCTTTTCTAAACTCTACAGTTTGTATACAACATTCATAATATAATATGTCCCATGAATAGCTCTTTCAAATTCTTGGTTTTAAGAGGTAAAGCTGGCTTTGTGTCCTTCAGAAACTGATTACTCCGTGTCTCCTTCTCCTACCACCAGCTACAAACATGTCTTGACATCCAGCAGTGTCTGGTACACTTTGATAGTTTGCTGTGCATCTGACGTGATGTGTGTCAGGCTGCTACCCAACACCTGCAGCCCCAACTCTGGAGCTCAGTTTCAGGCTTCAGTCTCAGTCAGGTTCAGTCTCTGTAAGAGTGGGAAAAAAGGGGGGAAGGTCGGCTTACACAGACGCGCTTGTTTGTTTTGTTTTCGAAGATTTATGCGGTTTATATTATAAAACTCTTAATAATTCCTTTAAGCTGATACATGAAGGTCAAATGTCATGTTATTCCTGGCAGGCTTTGGGAACTGTCATACCATTTTAGTTTGTTATTTTTGAATCTCTCAGCATGTAGAGTGACACAGATGTGTATCATGTAACAGTACAGATAGCCTGAAGGAAAACACTTAGGTGTTCTTTATTTTCAGAAGTTTTACATTAACAAAATCATTCTTGATGCTTTGATTCCTCTAAATATTTTTAATCTTGTAAAAAAAGGATTTCGATTTGAATTTGAAACGTTCAGCTTTTTTTTTTATTAACACTAAGCATATTCATTTAAACTTGAATTTAGGTCAGTCGACCTACTTTCCTTTTTAAACCTTTAAGAAAATAACATTCCAATGCAATAACCCCTACATAAAATTGCTCCATAAAGTAGCTAGAATGGATATTTTTTATGCAAAAAGCATTAAGAAAGGATATTTGTAGTGATGACCTCACAGAAAAAGAATAGTTAAAATAAGTGAAACCAGGCTTCCCTTCACACTGAAGCATTCCCATGATTCCCAGCTCATTATTGGTTATCCTGCTTGAACACTTGTTTTTTTGTTTGTTTGTTTTTTTGCTCAGAATTGCTCACAATATCCAGCTGTTTTGAATAAAAAGCACACTTATTGTTTCTGCCCAGGGCAAATTGGCAATTAAAGTAGCAGGTTTAGTGAATAATGTTCAGTATCTGCTGGATACAACAAAGAAGACGTTTTCTCACAAGTTTGCAGTATCAGCTGAAAGAAAATGTGTGTTTACAGTTCATATATATATAATTTATCAAGTTCTCTTGCTTTTTCAGGGATAAATGTCTCAGGTTCCTCATCAAACTGTTGATCTGCAGGCTGCTGCAGGCCTTGCTCCTTTTCATCATCACTGGAGAACTGATGTTTCTGGCTCTTTTCATTTTCATTTTCAGCTGGCAGTGAAACAAGGTTATCCATGCTTCATATTTCTTTGAGTTTATTCTGACTGATCTAGCAGCCGTTTTCATGTCAAACCTAGCTGAATGTACAGTCATCTGCTGCCAGCATGGTGTCAGCCAGCTGAAGGGTCAGCTCTGACACAGCAGTACCAGCTGCCTGGCTCTCACACAACAAAGTAATTACTCATGTCACACTGAATGACTCGCATCAGTGGGTGCGATCTTTAATTTTCATCAAATCTGGACAAACTCCAGTGTGTATGTGTGGCAATAATATAGCAAGTAGGGAAAAAAACATGTGTCATGCAGAAAAAGTTTATTAGGCATCAGGACATCTATAAATCAAATTAAATGTCACTAATTCATCAAGAACCTGATATAGGCTGACTTAAGATTCTCCCTTTCATCAGTCATACATGAATCCCCAGTCACACTATCAAGGGCACATATGAAAGCCTGCAGCAGTTGATAGATGCCCTAACATGCCCTCTTTCCAACCACACTGCCAGATCACTGGGGTATTGCAGTCATGGGTTCCCATAGTGAGATGATCCAGAAGCACCTAACAAAGAGCCAAAACTCAACACCTGCAACCAGGTGCACAGCTGAGGCTCACTGGTCCCTCCTGCTGAGAGAGAGGGGGGCAGTGTATCTTTTTTTGCTCTAAAAGGTTTATTTCAGAAATAGTTGTTGGTGTGTTCATGGCTTTTCTATGATAATTAGTTTATAAAATGAGTTTAAATAGAAACTAATTCCAAAACAAGGTTAGGTTTGATAAAAAGGCTGTTTACATTTTATGCTCTGTAAAATCTAAATGCAATCAGAATGTAATTATTTGAAAATATCTTAAAACAAGAGTTCATTCACAATGGAACACAGAAAACTTGGTTTAAACTGGGAGATTTTGCAATTTCATTAAAAAAAAATATTAGCTAATTTTTCATTTATGTACAGGAACATGTTTAGAAAAAGTTGGAACAATTGCAAAAAGTTCTGGGAAAGTAAATGGTACTAAAAAGAATCAGCTGGAGGAACATCTTGCAGCTAATTAGGTGAATTGGAAACATGTGACTAACATGATTGGGTATAAAAAGAGCATTTTTAGAGAGGAAGAATTTCTCAGAAGTAAAGATAGGTAGATATGTATAGCAATTTCTGAATGTGTAGGGGTGGAATTAGTAGCTTACACATCTGGAAAGACACCTTCAGTGCTGAAA